CTGATTTCCTGATTTTGTGCTCATTTCTGCTTATTTAAACCTCATTCAGCTAATAGTTATTATTTCTGCTTTCTTCTGCTAATTTAGGCTTGTTCTTTCATTTCAGCTACAATTCAGCATGTTTTTATTGCATGTTTAATGCAATTTCTCTAGTATTTTGTTTATTATCTTATCTTTCTCCCTCGTATGAACTAGAAACAGATTTGTTTCTGCTGTGAGAAAGTCTGCCTGTACAAAAATGTTGCAGGAGAAAATAAAAAACACCCAAGCTCTCAGAATCATCTGCTTCCCACACCGCTACAAATCTATTTAGTGCAGTTTGAACAGAAACGTTCAGCTGATTCCTGCAGTTTTTACGGGAACCTGGGGTTTGTTTGATCTTTTAACGCTACTTGGAAAGACTTTTTATTCTGTTCAGATTAGTTACGAGCAGTGGGAACATCCATGCAGGTGTGCTGATAATCACAACACAACTGACACCCTTTAACATTTTCTGTGTTTGCGTCTGTTTCCTGTTTAGCTTCGGTTTGCCGACGCAAGCTAGCCATCCTTGAGACGTTACTTTGTGGAATGAGAAAAATGACCCCCCCCCCCCCCCCCTATTCTGTTGTGCGCCATCGAATTGCGGTTCACACTTGATTTCACATGCAAACGCAGAGTTTTCTAACGGGCCCAGATCAATAGAACAATGGGGAAGCTTTTCGGGTTGTCACGGCAACTTTGCCTTGACCTTTGACCTCTGGTTTTTAACAGAGGCAGCCTGATACTTTTAGGGAAAGCAGCCGCGGCTTTAAAATGTGCAGTGTGCGCCCACGTAACGGCAGCTATCCAATAATCGGACTCAATAAATCAATGGACATGTGTGTGTGCGTGTTGTGAGGACCCTTAGACTCCAACTGGGGCTTTGTTCGTTTTGTTTATTTAGCATCTAAATAAACAACTAATACAAGGAGTAAAACGTACTTTAACTTTACGCTTTATTTCTACACTTAATTATTTTTTCCACAATTTAATGAAATCACAGGTCTGCATAGTTCAGTTTGTTTTAATTATTTTAAAACATGTTTATAAAAATCCAATTTATTTATTTTGTCCTTTGCAAGAATCTTATCTTTTTTTGTCTTAAATGGTAAAAATATTAATAAATGTAAAAAAAAAAAAATCTTTGGATATTTTTAGCTTTCTAATATTTGGTCCCTACTGGCCACAAAAGGCCCCTCGAACAAACCTAAAAGTGGCCCATGAGCCACCACTTGACAACCACAGTTGTAGCAGGTTGTTGCGGCTCCGGATACGTTTAATTTAGTGAACGAAGGCGCAAAAATGTCTCTTTTGATCATAAAGGATGCAGATACCTGATTTAGACTATATAACAAAAACAAAACATTTAAAATTCAGTTTCGTGTTTGTTAAAAAAACAGATTTTAAGAAAAATAATGATACAACAGGAAACTTTTCTCGTGTTATTTTTATTTTTTTTGTAATACTGTGACTGAAAGGTGGGTGGAAGTAGTTCTTGGCTCTGCAGACTGATCATTAATTTTTACAAGATGAGTTTCAGATTCAGTTCTGAATTAGTTTAAGCATTTTTATTTATCTTATTTTATTATTTAACAGTTATTTATACAGGTAGTCTAATGAGTAACAAGGACTCATTTACAAGAGAGACCTGTCTACCGTATTTTCCGCCGTAAACGTTGCACCGCCCTATAAGTCGCATCAGTCCAAACATGTTTAATAAGGTGGAAAAATTCATAAATATGTCGCTTCGCCGTATAAGTCGCATCTATTATGCGTCACCGCTGACAACCCGGAAATGTGGGCCGAACTTGGAAACGTGGGCCAGCGTTGCGCCACAAATCGATTGGCTGCCAAATGGCAAACGTGGGAGCGCGCACAGGAGGACTTTAACAAGAATTTAACAAGATAAACACCTAAAAACAATTATTTGTTTGTTCGACATTTTAGCAAAGGTGCGTCTCAGTCTAACTTTCGCATAATAAATGCACTTTAATGGTCAAATCAGCTGCATTTCGCCTGGGCGGTGCAACGAAAGGAACCTGATTTGACGTTTGCTCCCATCAGTGAGCAGAATGAAGGCGGCAGGCTACGGCAAGCCGACTGTGTCATTAAAATAATCCATAAATAAGTTGCTTCAAGTCACAGGGCACGTAAATTACGCAAAAAAAAACGCGATTTATAGATCGAAAAATATGGTAACAGAACGCTGAGCTACCACAGCCCTCTGTGTGGAGCACAGGGATGCCATCTAGGGTGCCCAGGGGAGAAGATGGTGGGGGTTAAGTGCCTTGCTCAAAGGCTCAGAGTGGGGCAAATGAGGGTGGAGGCAGGTGTGGGTGTTTCGCCTTTCCCATCCACATTTTGATGTTGTCAGGGAAGTTGGACCAGCGACCTTCCGATCACAGCCTCACCGTCTCAAACCTCTGCACCACCACTCTCCCATGATTCACAGCACGTGAATGACACCCGCTAGTCGCAGCGACTCACAGATCTGGACTGTGCTTATTCGGCATGTTTTCAGCTGTTTGTTTCATTTTTTTTATATGAGCTAAACGCAGCGTACACGGAGATACACAGCTCATGAATCGGACTAACCTACAACCAGCCTATTGGCCTTTCTGGGCTACAGAAGCTCTGCTGCCTACGGACAAATTCCTGTGAGTGAATAAACATCTGAGTCCGCTTTCATGGGCGACAAACATATATGTCACTCACTGCCGTGTCAGCGCACCTGATCTATTGTGAGAACATTCTTGCTTTCTGCCAGATACAGTTGCACTAATCCCTCCAGCTACCGATGCAGGACAAGTCAATTATGACTTCTGATCCGTCATCGTAGAGAAGAACTGACCCCATGTCAGCTCTACCTCCAGCCTTGGGCTGATTTAACGGAATTTGGCACCAGGTCTACAAATCACCGGTCCACTTTAAGACTGACTTGGAGGAACGCACCCTGCTAATGGCACCAGATACGCTCAACACGCTGGTGGAACGCATGCGCGCGTGTGTTTGTGAACTTGCGTCTGCATGCCACAGCGGCAGAGAGGATCAGTAAAGTCAATAAATAAAGGAGCAAACCGCACAGTACAGAAAATCTCTTTTAGACGAAGCGATTAATCTCGTTTCCATGGTGATGTTCTTACAAACTCTTAACAACCGAACGGACGAACAAAACAGAGATTTTCAGAGCAAACGGACTGAATCCTCCGTAAGTCCTTGCAGCAGCACCTTCAACTTTTATCTCCACGTCATTTGTGCCATTTTTAGAAACTGAACACAAGGCGCCTGAACGCACCTCAAACAATAGATGCAAACGTGACCCTGCAGCCAAGACGGTGAAACACAGCGGCTCGATTCATCACCCTTGATGAACACTTCCCTGTCAAAAAAAAATACTGTGTACGCTATAGGCTCTGCGGCTGAAAGACACAAGAGAGAGGCGAACAACATGAGAAATGTGAGAAGGCGTCCATTGTAGGCAGGTGTTAGACCAAGAACATGAGTACTGCCTATAATGAGTTGTAAAACAGAGGTGCAATCTGGGGTCAGGCCAGCTGTTATGAAGGAAGAGACAAGAAATGGGAAGACAAGACGAAGAACAGGAAGAAACAGATTTTCTAAAAAAAATTTAAAAAAAGAGAAAGCACATGCGTCTGCACACCAGCTTCAAAAGGCTGATAAATTTAACTAAAAGGTGGCGTGAAGTTAAAATACATTGAATTTGACTTTCAACAGCTGAAATTAAGGTTTACACTAGGGATGCACAATATTGGATTTTGGCTGATATACGACATGCCGATATGTTAAAACTTATTTATAACCGATACAAACACAGATTATTTTTCTCCTAGACCTACTTATAGAGACAACATAGCTTTCTCTGCTGTGGAATTAAAATGCTACATTATTCAAATCAATTTATTTATATAGCCGCCATATCACAACATAGCTGGCTCAGGGCACTTTACAAGAACATTCACATAGAATGAATGGTCTTTGTCAATTTCACCTGCTACCAAATGCAGATGCCAAAAAGGGGGATGAAAATGATGTAACACTTTATAATATAAAAAACAGCGCCTTTTATAACTAAGAGTTATTTAAATGGAATGGCCGATATTTAACTTTATCGCTAATATCGGCTGATACCGATACATGCAGATAATATCGTGCATCCCTAGTTCATACTAATTAATAGCCATGACGATGCGTCATTATTTAAACACATAATTGTGTTTTCTTTCTCTTTAGACAATAAAAGTACAGTTGTTTGCTTGAACGCAGCTTTTAACTTGAAATCCCATGAAAAACGAACTCATCAAACAATAAGCGCTTGCAACCTCAGAGGGATGCTCACCTCTAACTTCCTGTCTGGTTCAATGATCTAAGCACACCGACTGCAGGTTGTGGAAGTTAGTTGTAAAATAAAACCAGTCTACACGTTACAGAAGAACTCTAAATAAAAACAAATATCACTGGAGCTGTGGAGGATATACAAGCTGGGAATAATTACGGTCCGTCTTCTGATTACGAATGAACGAGATCATGGTGGGAACGTTCTGAAGTGAATGCACCGACTGAGATGAGGCTGGACGTGAAGATGATCTGCTCTTAACCGAGGGAGGATTAGTAAAAGTTTGGCTGCTGAAGCCGAAGCGTTGAAGCTGTGTTGACACTGGGTGTGGGAGACTTTGGCAGAGACGCCCCGAATCAAAAACCTGAACTGTGGAGACTATCTCCCACCTCAGCAGTCAAGGTCAACAGCTTTCAGAGAGAAAGAACTCCCACAGTCCAACTCCTGGACCCGTCAACACCGGACAGTTGCAATGATATGAACTACTGTGCACATTTACAGAAAACTATTATTTCTTCATCACAAGTCGGTCTGCTGTGAGCAACCTGCTTTTTGTCAAGTGTTGAAACAAAATGGACTCGGACTGGATGGAGTAGAGCAGGAGTTGGTAGATTACATTCCTTACCTTGTTGTAGTAATGGAGCTGGACGGAGTGCCACTGGCCATCACTGACGCCACCTGAGACGTAGGGAGACACCGTGGTCTTCGTCTCACCTGGAGGACGAGTAAAACAGGAAGAATGAGAAGGAGAGCGGTTGCAACACTGTAGCAATAAAGTGAGAATTAAGGCAACTGTCACGATTGTAACTATAATTTTAACGCTGCCACCTGGCAATGACACAAAATGAAACTAAAACTAAACGAATGCTTATTGCTGAAGAAGTTACTGAGAAACAGCTGAAAATAGCTGAAACAGCTGAAATGGAAGAACAAGCCTAATTTAGCAGAACAAAGCAGAAATAACACACATTTGCTGAATTAGGTTTAAATAAGCAGAAATTGGCACAAAAGTTAGAAATTAGCTAAAAACGCTTAAATTAACAACAGCAAAAAAAGTTGAAAACGCAGAAAGAAGCTTAAACTATAAGAAGGAAGTGGAAACAGCTGAAATGAGCTAAAGAAAATATATGTGGAATAAGCTGGAAAAGCTAAATTTAGCATAAAACATCTAAAAAGTAGCTGAAATAGCAGAAAAGGCTAAAACTACTATAAAAAGGCTGAAAGGGGCATAATGAGCTGAAATTAACAGAAAGAAGTTAATTAGGCTGAAAGTATCAGAAATTACCACAAAAAACTTGAATGTATCTGAAAACAGCTGAAATTAGCTAAAAATGCCAAAAGAAAGTAGCTAAAAAGGTAGAACAAGTTTAAAATAGCAGAAGAAAGAAAGAATGAGTTTGCTGAAAGAAGCAGAAATGTGAAAAAAAAAAAAAAAAAGTGGAAATTATCTGGAAAAAAAGCTGAAATTACCAAAAGAAAAAAACACAGCTGAAAAGTAGCTTAAAAAAGCAGGAAGAAGCTTAAATTACCAAAAGGAAGTGTAGAGAGCACATTTTTGATGAATTAGGCTGAAAAAAGTTTTAATAAGTTTAAACATTTTGGAATTAGCTGAAAAGCTTAAATGAGCATAAAAACAGCTAAATAGTAGCTGAAATTGCATAAAAAGCTGAAACTTGCAGAAATCAGCTGAAAGGAGCATAACAAGCTGAAATGAGCAGAAGGAAGATAGAAGAAGCACAAAAATGTTGTAGTTAGCAGAAAGATCCTGAAAATATCACAAAACAGCTGAAAAAACAGCTGAAATTAGCTGAATAAATATTGAAATTTGCACAAGGAAGCTGAAAGAAGCTGAAGCAGAACAAAATGTGAAAGGAGCCGTAAAAGGCTGTAAACAGATCTAAAGATATGAAGGATGGAAAATGAGCTCAATTCATTTTCTATGAGGGAAAAAATGGCAGAAAAGGCTAAATATTTCAAAAAGCTAAAGTTGAACCAATACCAAAAGTTGTAGCAGGATTGTCCTGAAAGAGCTGAATGTTTTGATTTATGATTTTTTTTTTTTTTAAATAGATTGAAAACTGCGGGACGAGAATCACGCCGGAAAATGTACGGAAGAAAAATGGATGACAATAGTGTGAATGCTTCATAAACATTCACACAATCACAAATTTGAAGTGTTTTAGTTTCACATGCCCGTCTCTAATCGAAGTAATCCAGCATCATGTTGATTTGGATCATGCTGTTGATGCATCGTCAATACAAAAGTATCTTGATCAGGAGCATGTCAGAGTGGCGACAACTCCTGCAAAGGCTGCCAACATTCAAAGTACCAGGCACAAATCAAGTTCATATTTCTGCTCAACCTCAAGGTCGGTGATGTGAATGTCATCTGTCCGTGAGTGGTCGGCAGGTCCTTCTGCAGACGACCCACTGCAACCCTCCCATTTAAAAGATGTCATCAAATGCATAAGAAACAAAAAAATGAGCAGCGGGAAAAAAAAGCTAAAAGAATGCATTCTGAAGAAGACATTACAATTTTAAGTTGAACAGTTATTTTAATGAAACAGTTGATAAAAGAGCCACATTCTGGACTGCAGTGTAACACAGCTGATCCTGATATAAGAGCAACCAAGGCTAAAACCTACTATTGTTAAACTGTAGTTTGCAGCTTATTTTTGATTCTTTTTGATCAAGAACATTCTGGAAACAGTAAAATTCAGAAAAAAAAAAAAAAAAAAAGAACGGAGGAAATGATGATTGCAATGAGAATCCAATCAGCAGCATTACCCAGCAAGTTTACACCCAATGAGATAAATTTTGTACTTCCATTTCTGGGAGAAAGGCTGAGAAATAAGCTGCATGAACAGCGGAATGCTCCATTGAAATGAAAAATATCGTCTTTTACAACGTTCATTAAGAGTAATACGCACGTAGGCCTGTCGCGATAAACAATAAATCAATTAATCAGATGAAAAGTGAAAATTATCGACCTCATTTTCATTTATCGGCTTTATTGTTTCTTCGTGTCTCTCTTTCTACTGAAGACACTGGATGACAAAAGGCTCAACTCCGGTGCTCTTCACTGACTCCTCCCTTTCTCTTTAAAATCTGTTTTAACCGTCCTAAGCTGAGAAGCTAAGCTAACAGGCCGACCTTGGAAAAAAATCCTCCGTCTTGTCGAAGCTCCAAAAATTCACGGTTGAAACCCGTGCCTTCATGTAAAAAGTTGTTGTTCTCTGCAAAAAGAAGCTGAGAACTTGTTTACTAATTTTTTATTAAAAGCTTTGTGTGACAAATGCTACGCTAAAGAGCTCAAGCCACACCGAGCGTCCGCCACTTTGAGAACTGAAAAACAGGAAGGAGAGACAGCTCATGTCACGTCAAGGGGCCTCCCTCCCATTTTCCTTAAAGAGACACGCAGCTCGCTCCCTCACTATCCATCCTTCGGTTCAAAGTCTTATACTGCCATCCAGTGGTCAAAAAAGGTACTACACACAAAACAAATTACCAACATTTCTTCTTAAATTTCACAATAATTACTAATTATTGTCAAATTTCAAACAATATTATCGTTTATCGCAATAATTTCTGAGACAATTAATTGCCCAGCAAAATTTGTTATCGTGACAGGCCTATAAGCACGTATCTCACGTATCTCGGTAATAAACTTTTCCAATAAAGACTGCATTCATTATCACCCAATAGGCTTTTATGTAAGCAAATAAGAGGAAGTCCACTTTTTCACAGATTGTTCACTTTGAAGACGAATGATCTTGACAAAAGACTCAAAGATCATCCATCAACTGTTGCAGCAGCTAACATTAGTCTCTGAAATTAATGGCTTTAAGTCAGAAAACTGTGGCGCACAACAACGCCAGATTTACTGAGGGTTTACTCTGTTTGTCAAGGGAAGGAACGACTTGCACAAAAAATTAGAGCGCTAAAAACTAGCAAACTCGTTGGAAGCCAGACTAGCAGTGGGATCTATATAAATGTGAGACTCCTGCTTTGCTGCAAATAAATTAAAACTTTTTCTTTACGTATCTCTCTTTAATTGTGACGTATAATTCTGAGCACTGCTTTCGATGATTCATGCCTTTTTCATTTTAGGGTTTTGAAGTAGGGCACGAGGACTTGGGAGTCTCTCTCAAACCGGCTTGGCTCTACATAATCATATTAGATTGGATTCCTCCGTGCACGGTGCCATGGGAAAGTGACCTGAGTGTGAAAACAACAGTTCCAAGTACAAAGAATGCGTGTTTGATCTGCAGTTCAACAGTTACTCATTATAACAATGACTCTGGGCGTATGTGTGCATGTGCACGCTGCAGAGTGAAGGGCAGATCCAACTTTGTGTTTGTGGTAGGCGCATGCCGTGAAGGTAGAGATGTCGTTTATTGACTTTGGACACACAAAATCAAAAGAAACCACATGCTGATAAGCGTTATTTATCCAGCTCATTGTGAATGTCACTTTAGATAAAGTACATTCACACCAGAGTTAATTACTTCTTTTTAAGGGGTAATGACACACAAACAGTCATAGTGAAGCCTAACCTCCGGAGTAAGTAAGCTGAATCTGTTCATCAATGATCTCCAGGGCGATGAAGTCATGTTTCTCGTTGAACCTGCCGTTGTAGAGAAGCAGCGCGTTTCTTTCTCTTGTGGCAAACCTACAGAGAGACGTTAATGTTAGTTTATTGGAGATAAAGCCACCTCTAAAACAAAAAAGGATTTCAATGTAGGTGTTGCACCCCTCACATTTGAAAAATGTTCATTTGGACCCCCCCCCCCCCACACACACACACACACACACACAGGTTTGTTTTGCTATCTTTATGGGGTCTTTGCATTGACTTCCATTCATTTTTCATTCAATTCTATAGCCTAACCATGACCTTTATCCTTAACCTAACCATTACCAGTACATACCTAACCCTAAACCTAACACATCCTCAATTCACACCTTAGTCCTAAACCTAGCCCCTAACCCACCAACGGGACTTCTTCTTATGGGGTCCGGGCTTTGGGCCCCATAAGGAGCAGTTGGTCCTCACAATGCAGTATAAGTTGGAAAAATGGGCCTCACAAAGTAGCATAAACAAGGACACACACACACACACATTACCATTCCACTTGATTAATAGAACATTCAAACCACTAGAAGTCCACTCCATGCTTTCCTGGTTACCTACAACTCTCCATACAGTGTTTCTCCTCTGCGTCTCCTGCCTTGGCAGGATGCTCACAGGGGGAGGAGGGGGAGACAGTTCTGTGTTGCGCACTAGCTTAACGAGCTTAGTGTGGGCAGTTGCTGACTGGGGGAGGTTGTGATGCTTGAGAAGTGGAGCGCTACGTTTCTAGCATCTTAGCTAGAGTGTCAGTGAATGCGGCTAGCTTAGCGCTACGGTGTGTGACGCTGTATTACGCTGTGTGTTAAGTTGCATTTAAGTTTAAATTTCTTTAAAACCCCCACAACTTATTGCCCTCAAGCTTGGTGAGAAACATCTTGTAGATGAGTAGTGTTGAACACAAGTAAAAAAAAAGTCTAGTGGTAATGTTTGTTTTTTTTATTATTTAATTTCTCTAACAACACAAATAGTGCCGACCTGACGCTGTGTGTTAACGTGCATCAAAGTTGCAATGTCTTTTAAACCCCACAGCTGAATTTCCACAAACTTGGTGAGAAACATGCTTTAAATGTGTGGAATTAAAGAAAGAAAATCTAGGTGAAATGTTGCTTTTTTCAACTCAATTCAATTCAAAAATACTTTATTAATCCCTAAACGGAAATTAAATGTTGTAACTCATTATCTGCATTTCATTAAGAGATGTTATAGATACTAATAGCTGTAGGCAGGAAGGAGCTCTTGTAAAGGGCCGTACCACAGCGGATCCAAAGAAAATGGCCACAGATGCTGTCCAGTGCATCCACCCAGACTCAGCTGGCCTCTTGGTTCCCCAGGGCTGCAGGATCACCTGAATCCTGGGAAGAACTCCTCCCAGAGTGATGGCCACTCCTCACAGCAGCCTGCCGAGCTTCTCGTAACTGCGGACAGCCGGCTGCAGGTGTCATGAGATGATCCCGGTCCTTCTGCTGCCACAAGCTGTGTTTCCTTCTAGTTCTATGATCTCAGTGGTCAGGCGCTCAAGCACAGCCGGCAGGGAGATGGGAATGCATCTACGGTGCCTCCTTTTTCAACTCATTTGACATTTGAGGCTGTAGTTTAGTTATTATTTGAGCTTTTGAAATGTTAATCAGCAGCTCCCGGCTGTAAAATACATCTTGTTGTTATGGTTACGCATCACAACAAATATCCAAAAGCAAAAAAATAAAATTAAAAAAAGTGGTTTGTTTGTACTCATGGTTTTCTGTATGTTATTCACCTTTAAACAGGGGCCATACACAACGGCACAAATACAGCCCAGTTGTAAAGGTTGCTGTAATTGAGCACTCTGGATTTGAGCAACAGTAAGGTTGAATGAAAGGCTATACCGCAGACGTTAAAATACACCAGAATGCAGGAAATGGCATCTACTTTATTCACATTTTCACATTACCCACCACATTACAAAAACTTCTGACGCCAATGGATTTCAGTGAGGTGTTACTGAAAGCTTAAACTCACGTGTCCTGCCTGACAATATCTCCAACTCAAACAGACCAAAAGTGAAAAACAGTTTTCTGATAAAGCTCTGGAAGAAACGTTCCTTGCCTCAAAGAAGCAACAGTTTTCCCGTCTGTAAAGATCGACGAGCATCTAACCATTAATGTGTGTATGGAGGACACAAAGTTCAGATGTGAAGTTGTGCGTCCTCATGTTTGGAGTGTTAGGTGAGGGCAGAGGAGTCAGCTGACAGATGCCAGCGGGGCAAGGAGGGCAGGAAGTCAGGATGGCTGCAGCCAAACACTGATAAGGAAAACACCACACAGCCTTTCCTGTTTTCACGGCACTGTAAACCTCTCTAACCCTCACACCGTCGATGATTTCCAATATCAACCCCGCCTTGATTATTACAAACAAAGCGAGTGGTTAAAGTTTTTTTTCCTCTCCTTAATGTGTGGTTAAAACTTGCAGGACTGGGTTGTTTCCCCCTCCAGCTGTTTCGGTTTTATGCGAGTGTGTGAGAAACAAACCTCGTTAAGTTAAAAAATTCATATGTGGTGCTGTGCTGCCTTCTCTCCCCTATAAATGTCTTCATGGGAGGGAACGGAGGCACAAAGGAAACGTGTGTGCGTGTCCTGACACGCCCTAGCTGACACACTTTAGCAGACTAAACTCAGCTCTTTAAAAAATGCAACTCACACCTGCTAGTCGCAAAGTGAATCACAGCAAGATAACCTGAAGCATTGTTTAATTTTAAAAAGCTGAATTTAGCCATAACAACATAATTATAGTCAGCATTTAAATATTTGATAAAAGTCCTGTTCTGTAGCCATGTTTAGCTGCCATATTAGCATATTCAGCAAACATAAACTTTTAGTCTGAGTCATGTGTGGCTACATAGACCATCTTAAAGTAGGACTGGGAGATACGGACGCATTCCCTGACAACCCTTGAGAATGTTTACGGATCTCACCGGAGGGAAATGACTGATTATTCCATCCTTATCAGAACTCCTACAGTGTCTCCGGGAGCGTCCTTGGACACTCTCACCGCCCTTGTCGTCTCCCCCCCACCTCTGTGGAATGTCTACGTCACCATGTGCTTGTATGTGCGGGGTGTTTTTTTCATTATCAGGATCTTTCTTCTCAGCCAAGAAGAAAGAGTTTGATAGGATTTTTTTTTTGCTTCCAAATTCTACGTGCTCACTTTCACTACTTTTTTGTCTGTCTAAACAGATCTCACTTGTAAATGAGTCTTCAAGGCTCAGTGTGATTTATCTGTCTAAATAAAGGCTGAATGAAAAAATGAAAAGAAGCTACATGTGCTCAGTCTAAACTACGTCAACTCTTACTTCTGTTTGATGTATATTTTTAAATATTCATAGCAGAACTGTTTTGATTTTGGTCATTTTGACATTATAATATGAAGAGAGGGTGAAAAATGTCTTACATGAAGGAGACGGTGAAGTGGAACCTTTGCCGCAGGCCTCTGAAGGTGATAAAAGATTGCCCAGGGAAGCTGCGGGTGGTCATCTCACAGTAGGGTGTCTCATGCTCCTTTGGACACCGGCACAGGAAACCACCCGTGGGCCGGTTGACACATTCCCCACCGTTCTTACACACACCAGGAACACACCGGCCTGTGGACGCACTCAGCTCACAGTGCTCGCCTACAAAGAGAAGAAGAAAAATCTAGATTTTTAGCCAGTCAGTTTACTGTAAAACACTGTCACTTGTATATGTCTGATCTAAAATACAGACGCCATGCCATCTCTTTGGAATTACAGGATGATTGTATGTCAATTTCAATAAGCCACAAAAAAATCTCTGAAGCTTCTTTGAGTTTCCAGCTTATAAAAGCTGAGGATAGGCCTCTGTCCATCTAAACTTCAGGTGCACTGACAATACAGTTGACGGGCCTTTGATGGAAAAACTGAAACAAAGAGAGATTTTCAAATATATACAGTCATCCCTCGCTAGACTACGGTTCACTTCTTGCAGCTGAAATGTATTGTAGATTTTTTATATTGTGCAGTGTTTGCCCTAAGTCACTTGTCTTGGCAGGGTGCTCTTGTCTTCTAAGATTTTTGTTGGGGGGAGGGGGGTGTAGAGAGATGCACGCTACTTTTGTGTCGGCATTGGGGGTGGGATGCATGACCGAAACAAGCTCTACATCATTAGCTTTTTAGCTAGAACGTCTGTATTGCACATTGCTAGCTTAGCGCTACATCAATACAGGCAGTTGTCGGGGGGTGGGGGTGTGTGTGTGTGAAGAACAGTTCGGTAGGCGGGGCGCACAGTTCTGTTGACAGGGTGGGCACCCTCCTTGTATAACGGTAGGGGAAACACTGTTGTGCGTACTGTACATTCATCTCATCATCTTCACTACCATCACCAAAATGTTTAAGAGCATATGAAGTGTTATAAGAGAGTATGAAAGGTATGTAGGAGTGTGAGAAGGGTTTATAAAGCCTTAAACCTATATAAATAATAAATATAATGCCATTACTTTGTGGATTTTCACCTACCGTGGGAGTCTCTGGAACGTAACCCATGCTATAGGTGAGGGATCATTGTATAGATGAATATAATACTGTTCCTCCATTAAGTTATAGACAGACTGGACTCATACTGACAAATGACTTGTATCCAGGCCTGAGGGGATGCCATACCTCAATGGCATGGGAAAAGTGGAGTGCCAGATCTGGCAACTCCATTAACCATTAGATCTGGCATGGTCACATGACCCTTCAACACGTATAGTTTAATTTAATTTTTACCACTCCATCATGCTGCTAAACTTTTCCTGTCAGTGAGTTTAACTTCCTTTACTTTTACAATCAAAACACGTAAAAAGCCAAGTGGGCAAGATTCTCAAGACATGAATGCCTTGCACAAAACAAATGGGTAAAGAAATGGATAAAACAACACATCCTCATATCTCTTAGTGATGAAACTGGAACTTATTAGAATGATCAGATCTAATATAAAACATAATATAGTTTACATTCCTTGCAGTAGTGTTCCATCATGGGAAATTCCTCTTTAACGACTATGTTGATGTAGCTTTGTTAAAAAAAATTAGCAAACCGAGTCCAACTTCCTGGAGTAATTTAAATTCCTCAGACCTCTTTCTGTCAGAAATATCTTTAGCTGTAGGTGCCCCTGTGTCCCATGCAGTTTGTCAAACTGTTATCCAGACAACATCCCCTCATCTAGATAACACACAGACCCCCCGACAATACAGCTTGGAACCAGCTAATGGCCCTTCTCTCCTCAACGTAATCCTTTTTTCCGAGGTAGAATTATGAGGATCTGATTCCCTATAATGTAGGAAACCCAAGGAGAACAGAATGGCCCCCCTGCTGTCATCAGGCTCATAATGGTCTCTGACTATCAGGACTTGAACTGTGACCTTCAAAGATGACACACCGAGATGTGGGGAAAAGAAATATGGTGGATGAGTGGAGAAGATGACATGAGTGGTAGGAGACGAAGGCGAGAAGCCCTGTGACTGACAAAGGCAGGTATAATCAGGTAATTACATCAGATAGGGTAGAGGAAGCGAAAGAAACGAGGCAGTGTCGAGAATAAGAGATGGAGAGGAGGCATGAGGGCTGTCCGAGAACCACAGCGCTCTATTTGAGAGAGACAGTAGGGCAGCGACAGTAAGGTATCAGATTTACAAGGGGGAAGTATGAGATGAAGATCACTGACATCGGGAAATATTTTGCAAAGTGGTTGCAGTGGGAACAATGAATACTTCCAAGTCTTCCCACAGGCTTCGGCCACATGAATGTTGGACAGCGTTAGTATCATTCCCAGCTTTGAAGCAAATATCGGTTAGTTATTTTTCTCATAAAAAAAAACAAGTTTTAACTTTTAACGACATAAACCATGGGTTTACTTTTATGTAAACAAAATGTATATAAATATATATACATATATATATATAGATTTTTTTTTTTTTTTTTGACTGCTCCCTTCCACAGGGGTTGCCACAGCAAACTAACTTATACAGAGACTTGGCAGTTGTTTTTACGCTGGATGCCCTTCCTGACGCAACCACAGACCAACGAGCTACCACAGCCCTCTGTGTGGAGCAGAGAGCTGCTCTCTAGGGTGCCAAGGGAAAAAGATGGTGGGGGTTAAGGGCCTTGCTCAAGGGCTAAGAGTGGGAAAATGAGGGTGGACGCAGTTGCTAAATGGCGGTCAGCCCTGGACTGTCAGATTGGACTGTACAGGGTGCTTCATCTATTCCCACATTTTGATGTTGCTGATCAGAGGGTCAAACCTTCTGAGCACAGGCTCTCCTTCTTTAACCTCTGCACCACCACTCCCCTCCCAGCCTGTTGGGAGTACAGTTCAAAAGTTGGCCTCGCTGAAGGTATGGGGGTGCATTTGTAAATCTGGCATGGGCAGCTTACACATTTGAAAATGCACCATCATTGCAGAAATTTAAGAACAGGTTTTACAGCAACCTATACTTCCATCCAGACTACATCTTTTTCAGAGAAGGCATTACATATTTCAGCAAGACAATGCCAAATTGTAAACTGAATCCATAAAAACAGCATGGCTTCATTGAATAAAAGTAGGTGCTGAAATGTCCTGCCTGCAGTCCAGACCGCTCATCAATTGAAAACATTTGATGCATCATGAAATGAAAAATATGGCAAGGACGAACCAGGACAGTTGAAGAACTAGAATCCTATGTCAGACTAGAATGGGACAACATTCTCCTCTAAAAAGTCCAGCACCTAGTCTCTTTAGTGCCTAGATATCTGAAGACTGTTGTTCCGGGAGGGATGCTTCACATTTGTAAACATGGCCCTGTCCCAACTTATTTGAGCTGTGTTGCTGCCATAAAACTCTAAATAACCTTTTTTTTTTAAGTACAATTTTTTTAGTCTAACGTTTGATATTTTATACTATGGTCTATTTTATAATAAACTACGGGTTTATGAGCTTTGCGAATCCTTGCATTTTGTTTTCATTTACAATTTAAACATCTCAGCTTTGTCACACCGGATTAAAGTATTTTAAATTAGAGCTTAATTAAATAAAGTAAATCTGTAAAATTATTTCCAATAAAATCTGATATAAAAAGAGCAAAAACACTCAGTGCGTCACTGAATAAATCTTCTACCGTATCACAAGGGAAGTACAAAAAATATTTTTTTCTTGTATAGCAGACCAGTGTTTCCCCTACCATTATTCAAGGAGAGTGCCCCGCCCTGTCAACAGAACCGTCCATCCTGCCTACCAATGCCCCCACCCAGCTCCCCCTTGCTCCCAAAGCAAGTAACCTGGGGAAATCTATGCAAATTTTTTAGGAGCCACTAATGTTGACTTTTATCCCATCAGTACAGGATGTATTCGTTCATTGATTGGAACTACTGTACACGTTAAATGTTTATTATTGGTAACTGCAAATATGTGAGTTTGGTTGAAAGGTTAAATAGAGTAACCATTCCATCATCTGCAATAGCGTGGCTTTGTCTGCGGAGTTACAAAGAAGGTTTTCTTTTCCTGCACAGGGGTCACCCTCGAGTTACAACAGTAGATTGCAACTTTCAGGTTAGGTTAGGTTACAACGGTTTGGCAGTTTCGTTCCAGGTTCAAAGGATTAAAAAAGGTATTTTATAGTGAGACATTTCAACCTAATAAGGAGATACATTAACTAACTCACCTGTGAAGTCTTCCTGGCACTCGCAGGTGTATCCTCCTTCCCGTCTGCGGCACCTTCCATTGTTCTTACAAGGCCCGGAGTAGCAGAGGTCTATCTCAGTCTCGCAATAGTCTCCGGTAAAACCAACAAGACAGCGGCACCGTAGCCCATTGATGGGGTGGATAGGCCGAAACAGAACCGTGTTTGAGGAGATAAAGGGAGGAGAGCTGTCAAACTTCAGCACCGACACACACTTCATGTAGTTCTCACAGGGCTCTCGGAGGCAGATGTTATCATCAAATGGTAAAACCTGAAAGAAGGATGAAATTTTAGCTACAATAAAGTCAAACACTTATTTTAGGATTTCCTGTTCAAGTTTTCACTCATGTTCTAACCTCCTGAGAGGATATCAGCCTGAGCAGAGTCCGGTTGAGGTAGATCTGCTCCTGAAGGTCCTCTGAAGGGAAAAATGTCCCTTTGCCCGAGGTGCCTCCTGGCTGCAGCGCCGAAAAGGTCACATTAAGGATGGAGCCTTGCACGTCGGTGTCGTTTTGGATGTTGAACACAAACACAGCTTCCCGTTTGGTGGAGAGCACAGCCGCCACACCTTCTAGGAAGAGGCTGAGCAGGGGTGAGAGGAAGCGCTCCTGCGACATGTTCTCCAGACGTACCGTGATGCTGTTGGTCAACATATCGTCGGTGATGATGGTGACACGCAGGGTGCAGAGCGCAACGACACGATGAATACCATCTGAAAGAAAGAAAGAACATGTGTGTAAGTGCCGTTTACTTTGAAACCCTTTGAAAGGCTTCAGTTTGAAGAAAATGAGTAACTTTGAAGGTCTGATGAGCTAATGGCTAGTCTGAAAAAGGCTAAGACCTAAGGGGATGGCTTCTCCATGAAAGAAAAGTATTAAAAAAAAAAAAAATCAATGAGGTTAGCCTGCGAATGCCATTTTTATAGCTTTATTTAAGATTTAAAATTGCATAAATCTATTTCAGTCTTGTCACAGCTTTGGCTGGCCGTTAGCTTGCCAGTTCATGATTTACACTTCAAACTGAGGTTATCTAAAAATCTATCTGCTACGAGAAAAATATTAATCATTCATAACTTTTCCCACAAAGTCCCTTTTGAAAATATCAGAACTCTACATTTGCTGTAGAGCATTATTCTTACATTCTTCTATTACATAGTACTGTAAAGTACAGAGTGCTGTGACTTTTTTTGTAGAATATACACTGCCTGGCCAAAAAAAAGTCACCACCTGGATTTAACTAAGCAAATAGGTACGAGCTTCCTATTGGATAATTACTGCAGGGGCGATTATCTTTCAGCTGCAACAAGTTATTTAACCCCAACTGGTGCAATGAGTTGCTTCTCATTTCTTAAACAACCATGTTGAAAGACATGTGGCGTGGTCGTGGAAAAGATGTCAGTCTGTTTGAGAAGGGTCAAGGATTCAGTTTGCTAGGGAGCATAAAGATTGGACTCTGGAGCAATGGAAGAAGGTCATGTGGTCTGATGAGTCCAGATTTACCCTGTTCCAGAGTGATGGGTGCATCAGGGTAAGAAGAGAGGCAGGTGAAGTGATGCACCAAAATACACAGCGGGGCTCTAGAATTATGGAAATTAAACCGAGAAGGGTTTGCAACACTCTGCCACCATCTTGAGAGAAATTTAGAGGGTAATATTTTTATACAAGTTCAAAATTCAAGCTAGAAGACTGACTCACCTCTGCTAATGACATGATAAATTTGAGAACACCTGCAAACATTTGAAGACATTGCTGAGACCTCCTTGCAAATGTAATTCGCCAACTCATCACCAACAGTTGCAATTCATTGAGATACTGGTTTTACAGCTTTGTTATCCAAACATCATTAGAGAACTACTTGAGCCAACTTCTAAATCTATTGGACAGTTTATAATACTAACTCTGGGATGCCGTATACCACAGTTTTCAAAACACTATACCCTCAATACTTCCAGGAACAAACAATATCCAGTGTTAAAAAAAAACAAGAAATAACAGCTAAGATCTTAAAAATGTATTGTTTGAGGACCTGGCAAACCCTAATATAGGGTCAAATATATCAATAAGAGAACAGCTGTCTGACTTTAAAACAGACAAAGAAGCAAACATATTTGGTCTGTGTAACATTAAAATATAACAAATTAAATCATTACAAAATGACTCGAGTGTATTAAGAACATGAACCTTCAAGCTCCTTAATGCCTTTTAATACCAGCGGTGCTTTTCCGTTTCTTGCCAAGGTTTGTTTCTACTCTGCTTTCTAGACTGCTAACAATGTCTTTATGTTCTAAGTTGGATGGGCTGATTATTATCATAGCAGGTGCAAAGCCAGTACCAAAAAAGTATCAGTTACACTGTAGGACCAATAATGGAATACCAAAAATAGCCAAGCCATGCTGCACAACACTTAATTAAAAAAGTACGACAACTGATAAGCGCAATAACATTTTTTTTGTTCAACCTTAGTTGAGATTCAGAGAGAGCCAAGCTGATGATGTGCAATGATGTGGAAATTATTAATAGCAACTTAAGTATTTGGTTGCTACTGCTTAGTGATTCTTTCATGAGAAACCTTCTGAACCTTTCGAAGGTTTTTCATGCAAGAAAGCCAGCGATATAACTGAACTTGTTCACTGGATTATATATTTGCCAGATGATTGAATAAAGCATTTTCCAGGCAATGTGATCTGATTAGAGTCTGGACTGGGTTTAATTAGATCTGTCAAGAGTTTCATTCCTGAAAATCTTTAAATATTTTCCCATACTGCCTCTAACTATGGAAGGAGCAAGAAGGCTGCGGGCCGCTAAGGACACAGACCGAGTGAAATACAGCTGACGACAGGTGGTGAGGCCACATGAAATTTACAGGGGAGTATAATACTGTTGAAGAGACATGGGGTGCTGGGTCAGATTGCACAGTGTCGCAGCACAAAACGGAGCACGAGTGTGTCATACATGTGTGTGATCGGGATGTTTAATGGTCGGGGGCAGCTTTAAAGGTGAAAGGGTGCTACTGATGCTTGGCCACAGGTGCCACGCCGCTGTCATAGATGGGATCGCTTCTCAGAACCTCGCACACAAAAATCAGAGACGGTCAGTCTGTAAGAACGGAGCGTGGACAGGAAAGTCAATCATCCAGCCTCTAGCTAACAGCATCTAAAGGTCAACTCCTAATGCACGAAGACAAATAACTCGCATCAAAAAGCATCAAGAAAATCAGTTTGTTTTATGTATTTAAATGACTGGATAGCCTAGACTGCCAAAAACACACAGAAAAGCAGTCACACATTAACAAGTCATTAAGCAGCAGCTGTAACACATTGAACTGATGTAATGTGATGGATTCTAGGTGCTCATTCACCACAGTGTTAACAGACAGAGTATCTACCGGCCTCAAAGTGCTCCACACCTGTCTCTCCCTGTGTGTCTGGGAATACAGCATTATCCCACTTGCCGCCAGAAATCCATCACCTGTCTCTCTTCAAGACACACATCCTGTATGGACTCCATTATATTGTGTACACAGTCATGATTTAGGAAATACCGCTCTACCTTGATGGCTTAATGCTTCACATGGACACATGCGTTCAAACATACCAGCAACGTCAAATTACTACCAAGTAGGTCTTGACACAATCTTTTACCATTGGGGCAAACCCAACACTTACAACCCTTAATGCAAGTTTACACGCTCTCCTTCCGCAACTACACATCCAAACTGCCTGTGACTTTTTACAGCAAGACAAAGAAAGCAATCCTTAAAACGCAAATAAATGCATTCTGGACAAAGTTATATTGGAACATTTTTACAAGAAGCTTTTTTGTTTTCTCTTTCTTTCCAGAGGATTGCTACGAACTCTATTTATAGAGCCCACCAGCTGCTAGCATAGGGTCACAGAGACGAAGAGAGGATGGGCTGGACACTGGAAAGGGTGCGTCAGGGGGGCACACGGCATGGAAAACAACAATCTGCGTGTAAAAACATGCCACCACTTACACAGGCACCAGAAACAGATAGACGGATTTAACAGGGCATAAGCAAACTCAAGGCTGAAGTTATCCTAAAAGTTTAAGATACACGGCAACTGGACATTTTTTATTAGTTGAACACAGTTTGCTCCTCACCTGAGTAGCTTTTTGGAAGCAAATGAAAAGTGTGGCATTCCAAGCTTTTACATAGGAGTGAGGTGGATTTGCCATGTCCTGCATCACCGAGAACGTACAAACATTAGCATGATATCGTTAAAAGTGCTGCACGTGTTTGAAGCTCCGGAGGAAAAAAAGGTTTACCAACTGTGCACATTCTGTTATGACAAAGATACACACAGCTCCACCGGTCAACGCCAATAACAACGATTAGCCTGTTTATGCTACAACGGATGGGTACCAATTTACCACTTACCCCTACCTCTCTGTTTTGAGACTTCCCACTAAAAGCAGGGACGTCGCAGTTTATTCTGTAGTGGAAGGGGAGGGCAAAAATATGGGACAACAGTTTTTCCCCTTTAATGAGATAATTTTCTATAAACTTGCAAATGGAACGGTTCTTTTTAAAAAAAAACTCTGTTACAACCATTCTAATGTCTAGTTTGTTGCATTTTAATGTATTACGTTTGGTAGAACTTCCTTCACATCTGTTTATGCCAAAATACACCAATAACTGTTGATGGTGTCCCGTTTTGCAGTGGACACTACCAATCTCTACTTCCTGTAACTTTAGTTGATACTTCTAATACTTAATGCTGCTTCATAGCTTAAATGTTGTTCCCATAACTTTACTGCTAAACGAATAGTGTTATGTTTTTGTAGACGTAAAGTCGTCTTATAGCTTCTGCTAAATGTATATTATGTCTTAACGGAGAACTCTGCACAAGAATTCTTATATACCTGAACATAGGGCTGAACAACAATTCGTTATCAATATATGTCACAATACATTTTTATTCAATACCGGTGATATGAGTTTTAAGCACATTTTCGATATTTCGATATGATTACAGCGTTTCACTGACGCATTTCTTTTTCTGTTCGGGTTGAAACGACCGCTTCAGTTTCAACCCGAACAGAAAAAGCCGTGACACAACTACGTAAGTGCGTGGTGACGTAGATGTTACGCAGAGCTCGAGTCCAGAAGGAGTTAGCGGTAGCAGGCTAGGCTAATCTACAACGTGCGTTTTCACACGCACGTTGTCGCTTCAACATGAGTGCCCATGACCGTCAGAATGTGACTGAACAAGCTTTCACAAGTGAAGAGAAAGCAGAGGACATAATGGATAAAAGACTAATTTGATGGTGCGGAGGTGGTTCGGCTAGCTAAGATACGATAAACTGCAGGTTTCGTGTGCTACAAAATGTGCCCGAGAGTCGTTCCAACTAGCGGTGGGAACACAGCGAACTTGTTCCACTCGATAGAATAAACTGAGAGTCAGAAGACGAAGCACAATAAAAGTTTAAGCCAATGCGTCTCTGAAACATCAACCCCAGCTGTATCAAACGAGAAACACATGCAGCAAACGTGTTGTTGTTTAAAGTTAAAACTATTAATATTGACAAAGTTGAGAGTTTTATGTTTATTTGACGGTGATTTCAAATTTCTTCGAAGACTAAATACAAATAAAAGGTGAACATTAATTTATTTATACAGTTCGTACAGTTTTTCTGAGGCTTTTATATTGTTTATATCGAAATCGGAATTATATCGTTATCGACCGAAATT